CTATCTAACTCTTAATAGAGAATAACTTTATAACATGCCTGATTGAGGGTAATTATTTCTTATTGATGTATCACGTAACACAACGATTATAAATAAATCATTCACCTGGTCATACCGGTTCCTTAAAAGGTCATCAATGAAAAAAATACGCACTGTTTAGAATGCAAAGGTGTTGACATATTCGCAGGTGTGCATTCAGGGTAAAGGGTATGTACCAGACTTTCAAGGGCAGTGTTTGCAATAGGGCACGTGTATGGGTCCCATTACATGTGTTCATAAAAAGCAGTTGTTTATATACAAAGATAGCAGAGGAAACTAATGTCTCTTTATTTATATGTGATATATGTACATTTTATTCAGAATTTTATTATAGTAGATTGCATGCAATGAATTTATATCGTGTAAATAAAATAATGCTCTGTAAATCTCTCTGAAATAAGCTTTGAGGGGCGTCTTGCTATAACAATGGTTACTATGAATATTTTTTTTAAAAACCATGCTATAATTTTAGAACTCATAAACAATTGAACTGATCAGTTTAGATAAAAGACTGCAACAATTACCTTTTATATACTTCAGGGAGTGAATTTCTTATTCAGAGAACACACACAAAACAATTAAATATATTTCCTATAACATGTTTTAATTTTAACAATAATATTTTTTTTTTTAAATCTGGTTCAGGATTTTCAAGCTTAATTGAAAACAATGAAGAGGATGGAGTTGCTATAATACTGTGAAATACTTTATTTTAGCTGGAATTAATTTTCGCTGACAACACTTTTTAAGCGTTTTGTATGAATTTATTTTCACTGATAGGAAAAAATGTATATTAGCTGGATTTTGTTTTCATTGAATCATCACCTCCAGCGAAAATTAATTCCAAGCGAAAATAAATTATTACACAGTATTCAATCAGGCAAAAACACAAAGGGAGTAGTGATGATAGAGCACGTATTCATTGGGTAAACACAAACTAAAACACACAGATGATTAGCTAGCCGTTGGTAATGTTCTCGGACTGCATGTCTGGCGTGTGGGAGTGAGTATTACTGAACATTCCGTAATATCAATTGAGACGTATTAAAAGGGCACACATGGGTTTACAGACATACTTCACCAGGGCGTTGAAGTAACCAACACTTACAGGAAGTTTGTGAAAACTGACTTCGGATAAAAACTCGCAAATCAATGGAGTGTACGATCGAAGATTAACTTAATAATTGCGCATTCACGGCACGTATTTCACACGTTTTATTTGACAACAAACTGACCTATTTGTAATAACAGACCATGCCCTTTACCTATTTTGTTCAAGCAAAACTGCCAATCTCGCCCGCAATACCCAAATACATGCATTCATTCACGAACACCGAGAAGTCGTAGAAGTCAGCGCACCCATTCACTCACCTGACACAGCAGCTTCGGCGCGGTCTAAATTATTCATGGTTATGCGAACAACACTGGAATTCAGCTTCAGATTGCCAACTTGATCTCTCTCCAAAAGTAAAATTCTCGTGTCCCCTTTCCGTACAGAATTTTCGCAGATCTGCGGCGCTCCAAATCCATCGACCATGATCGTAGCCGGAGAAAACGGCGAATGTTTTTTCATATTACCGTTCAACATATTATCGCCTTTGAATACTCTTACCACCCGGACTTCGCACGAGTACATCTTCGTGTACGGCTTCCTGTATATGTTGTTTATAGTCCCCGTCAGTACCACGTTGGCCATTTCTTCTCGTAGCTCAATCGGCTTCTCGTTACATTCAAGTTGCTGAAGGCTGGACATTGGAAAGAGGCACAGCGCTAGCACCAAAATATCGACCCAATGACCCATCGCGACTGGTTATGTTTTGATACCCCGATTTTAAGATTTGTATGTATTAAACGACGCGATCCGTAGTAGAGTTTTTTGCCGAGACCTATTCGATGCACTCTCAGACGCGCTGGATTGCAGTCAGCACGGACGCGTGGATCGCGATTACAGAAAATGTCCGAATATTGGGACGTAGTGGCGAGGTCGGAAGAGATTGAAAATCCTTCCTCTGACAAGAGGATCACTAAGAAGCCTCGTTCTCGATTACAGGCCGGCTTTCTCAACTGTGTCACGTGACTAATCTAAATATGCGTCTTAGTACGAGTCCAAGTCAAGTCACAAGTAAAGTGCGTCCGTGTCTTATTTTTGCAATTTCCCGCGTTTCAGCTGTTAAATATAATTTTTTTTTATGAAACAAGAAAACAGATATTTAACTTAAGATCATGCATAATATACGATATAGGAATTTATTTGGTAATGTTATTACTTGTTATAATAGGATTGGAACAAGAAATATTTTTTTTTTGTAAATGTTTAGTACAGTGACAAGACAAATTGGTGATTTTAGGATTTTAGAAAAAATGTTTTTTCTTTGGTTGGCAAACTTTAGTGTTGTTTTTGTTGCACAAAAAAACAAAAGCAATGCCGTATTACTCAATAGAGGGCGTTGTATTTGTCTTGGTATATCACAACATGCCGATTTTGTTGTTTTGTTGTTGTGATGTTGTTGTTGTTTTATTATTATTATTTATTTTTATGTGTATTTTTATCTTTTCGGTTTTAAACAATGAGAATAAAATATTTACAGAGTGGGCATAGACATTTCTTAATTATACTGTTAAGCATTATTTAATAAAAACAGACAGGATTGTATAGAACTTGTATAGACGCGGTGTAATTACTGGAGTAATGTAGACTGTAATCTCATATTGCAAATACCAGAGTAAAATGATGACTGGGTGTAGCTAACTGACTTCTCGTTTCTCAAAGAAAAGTGAAAACGAATCAGAATTGCATGAAGGTATCTTTTTTTTTTAATTTCAAGAGGCGATAATGGCTTTTACACACACACCATCTTTACAATTTTGTTAATCGGACGACTGACACTATTGATATTCTCAGGGTTAGTACTTGATTGAATTTTGTAAATGAGAGTTTGTAACTCAGGTGTTTGGTAAAACTTCGCAAAATTTGGACACCTTTCTTACAATTATATCCATGTATTATTGCTTATAAATCATCGCCTTTAAAATTAGGTTTTTATGACGTCATTATTACACGTAAATTTAAACCTTTATTTATTTCAACAAAAACACACCCACATTTAACTAAATGTGTTTAATTCTCACGGTTATGATTGATAACAACAATTATACATCCTCCATGACATCATAATGAATTCAGGGAAGGGTTAAGACACGATAATGGTTTAGCTTTCGCCTCACACACTGTATTCAGTTGCAATAAACCCTTCTCCACATGCAGTATGTTGCTGAAGGGAATTCATTATTGTTTTCACCGTTTGCTCTTCTGATACTGTAAACGCATTTGTTACTCAATGGATTTTATAAATGTCACTGTTTTCGCTGCAAAATTCGCTAAAATAAATCCATGTTAACATATAAATTGTGAAAGTGAAAATAAATTGTTTTACAGTATTAGACCTCCACCAAGTGTAATAAATATACATTGTCCGCTGATGTTCCGTGACAATCACAATTCATGTATTTGTATTTACTGTTTACAAAAATTAACCAAATACTATGCAAAAAATGTCGTTTTCAAAGAAAGTTTCAATAGAAAGAACACTTTAATAAAGTATTATTTTATTTTAGCATGTCCATTTCCTAACAGTGCACGACATCTCATCGAAAGCTATTTTATTACAAGTGGTATATATCGTTATTTAAGTATCCAAATATCACGATAGGTGGAATGTTAAAAAAAAAATAATAATTAAAAAAACATAAAAAGTACACTAAAATATGTTTCACCCCGTGCGTTAACACACACATTTCAGATATGGCATAATTAATAAAAGATTCCGCAATTAAAATAACCGCAGACAAACGACTTTAATCACCCACTCATACGGGTCCTAAGATTTTGTAATACTGTACTTGCACACCGTACTAATCACCTACTTTGACTGCATACGTTGTGCGTGCTGCCCTCAACGGTGAAATGTCTCATGCTGTGCCAAAAATTTGAACTCTATAGCAGTGAAAGTAAGAGAGTCATCAAGTCTCATTATTTTTAAGAACGAACTCAAGATTCTTTTATTTTCATTTTTATAACCATTTCAGAATGTAGGTCACAGGTTACTCTGCATTTACCGCTTGGTTGGTAGCTCTTATCTTCTGAATGTTCAATGATTGTTTCTGTGTTATACATTGGTGTGAGTATATCTCAAATTTCTTTAGTGTGTTAGTACACAATCAAATCGCGTACAAGTGATAATAAAATAAATGCGATCGGTTTACTGATATTTCCTATGGGGGCAGCCGTCCGAATCGCAAGGTTCCGCTAACGCCGGCCATTTATAACCGGCCCACAAACCCGTGGTTAATTTTCAGGCTTCGGCCTAATAAATGGTCACTGGCTAGCAAAGATGCCATCTTGAATACGGTATGAAACTAAATAAACAGACTTTATTCAATTCCATGCCGTATACATGACGTCTGCCCTTCGCCCATATATCTTAAATTGGTCGCATTAATGTTATTATCACTTGTACGCCAGTTTACTGTGTGTTAGTATTGGTGATAAATAACATTCACGTACATAATTAAAACAAGCCATGTTGCAACGAAGATTTTGTGCCATTTGCCGTTTTTATAATAAAAAAATACAGAAAAAAAAATATTGAAAAGAAATAAAATGTAATTTTCAAAATCAAATTAGTTTTCAACGGTAATGCTCGGCTTTCTGATTTTTATTTGTTGTATTTCTGTGGGTTTTTTTTATATACTAATACTAGTACCAATAAACAAATTCGAACAATCGACGGGGACAATGGCCAAGTTTCTGGGCTCTGTAGAGGTCGCTGTCAAGATCATAGCGACAGGTTTTATTTGTTTTGCATTCATATAATGAGACTGTGAACAAAACATCTAATTATGATCATTTCTATTCAGTTTTACCAAGTGATACAAATGTGAGTGAGAACATGAAAATAGTAGCTATAAGTGTTTAATCGCGACAATCATGGCCCAAAGGGTAATTGCTATGATTACCCGGGGTAATCACGATTGTGATTTACCGTATACGGACACGTAATTTCGATCGGGATCAGGATTTGACAAGAAAAACCTGGAAAGGCAAATGCAACTGAGTTCTGCCCATGGGGAATTGTGGCACTCGTCATGAAAACACAGCAAAATGTATTGGGGGGTCCAAGCTTCGCGTTACGGAGCGTAAATCACAGAGAAGCTATGCGTAACTTGAATACAGGTAATGTATATGATTGCCAGGACTAAATAGCAGGGTAACCACAGGCAGTAGATTATAAAAAACAGGATATAGAAAAATGATAATAAAACAAAATTTAATATTACTTCAACAGCATAATTAAGAATTGTCACAAAACTGACACATTCTTCCTCAGAATGTTAATAAACAAATAAATAAATAATTATCACAATTATCACTGCCTGAAATAAAAAATGCCGCTGCAAACATACTAGTAATAGTTAATACATTATGACTTTTTAACATGATCACATACATTATGTCACAGCTATTTTAACATGACCACAGATATAATCTGTGATATTATATTACATTTAGTAGGTCCCTAATTATGCCTTAAGTAGTCATATGCATAATAATAGACATATCATGTTTTAGATGTTTCTTGAAAATCTATTTTAATAGCATGCTTATACTGATAATAATTTATATTTTGTTTTCATGCGTTTGGGGGGGTGCCCCCTGTCCCCCTGGACCCGCCACTGTGAAAACAGGCTTTGTCGTCGAATGGCTACTTGATTTTCTGACAATTGCTTACGCAATATTACGAAAACACAGTAGACGACAGAATATGAAAATAGACACCTGCTTCTGAGACTAAATCATATCAAACCAATACCTTTCTGTAGGAAGTATTACTATTATGTCATGAATACAACACGTGTCACAAATATCCTGGCAGAAAATTAGCAAATACACCTGTATTAGGAATAATTTTATTTTAATGTGACTTTTAACAGTCAAATTGCCAGCAAGTTGTTAAGCCCATTCTGGAACATTTTTCTTTGAAACTGGCCTAACCGGTTTGTTTTTGTTTGTTTTCAGATTCAGGCAGAAAATATATAGATCAATTTTTGGGCGGTGTTATTAATGAGTACGTCATGATAATGTCGCCTTATTACCATCGTTGCCATGAGAACTTGCAGTAGCATCCGATCAAATATTCTATCCACATTGTACGACACGACGAAAATAACAAGAAAAACCGAACTCTAATATATATATATATATATATATATATACCTGGATTATCAAAAATGGCAATTAAACCATTATGTTTTCATCATATTTTCCCGTAAATTCGAAAATCTTCTGCAGCAATGAACAACCTTTGCTCACATAAGTCATAAGTTCCTGAGGCTCTGCGTCATAAGGCTCTGCGTGAAGCTAAGCTCAAATTTGCTTCATGTCATCACTCTCCTTGTAGAATCTTTGAGCTTATGAACTGACCTAGGTAGCCAAAGACAGCCACAACTAGTGGAGGCGTTCCTTTGCGACTACTTAGCTTAGTGATAACAAACTATAATAGATAAAGTACACATTAAGGTAGCGAGACTACTATTTGTGTTGAAAATTACGATTTTCACATTTATTTATCACAAGCTTAGTAGTACACCATCTTGTTCGAATGTGACATCGATTTGAATTTGATGACAGTGTTGTTCACTATTTAGTTTTTAGTGTGCGATGTCGGTTAGAGGCGCTATATGACAGATATAGTTGCCAACTTGATTTTAACAAATTAATTAATTAGTTTTAATTGATTTTATTTTAGTTGGACATGTTAGAAAAAGCTCAGGCCACGGTTACTAAAAAAGTAACCGTGCTCGGGCGGAGGTAACGTAACATCACGCCCTCTATCGGTATATAAAACAAAACAACGCGCAGCTCGTCAGTATAATGTTGACTTATTTTATTGTTATCTATATGTTGTGCCTAACCCAAATGTTGAGAGACAAGAATAG